TTTTATTTTATTTTTAATAGTGATAATTATTGTGATTAATAACCTTTGTATATGGTCCAAAAATATTTCCAACCTTCCCTTCTCATATCCGATTATTATTTATCATATCAACTCCACATTATATACATTACTATCAATATCAATATCCCTGGGTTCATTCCTATCCCTTTGCTGGAAATCCAATATCCAAATTAATCCAGGGAGGTTTTGTGATATTCACACTTTGATAGTTTTGCATAGAGCTTGGTGTCCAGAAGTTTCTTCATAACTTGCCGCACCAGCTTTACGTGTTCCTCTTGGGTCTCAGTAAAAAAGGGAATGTTGTCGAGATAAATGAGCACCCCTTTGTAAAGGTGCTCATGCAGCACCTCGTTGATTAATTGTATAAAAACTGCAGGGGCCCTTTGTAAGCCAAACAGCATGACTTTGAATTGGAAACTACCAAGAGGGCTGTTGAATGCAGTTTTCCATTATACCCCTCCCTGATTTGTATGAGGTAGTATGCTTCTCTAAGTCAAATTTTGTGAACACCTTGTCCTTGGACAAGTGATTCAACACATTCGTCATGAGGGGGAGAGGGTAGGTGTTTTCCATGCAAACAGCATTGATATTGCACAACCTCACCCCCCATCTTTCTTTTCCTTAAAGCAGAGAGGGGCAGTTACCTTGGACTAGGCTGGTTGGATGAAGCTCCACTCTTAAGTTAGCATTGATGTATTACCTTAATTCTGCCATCTCCTTAGGGGTCATGGAATATATCTTAGGCTTCAGTAGCTTTGCCCCAGGCACAAACTCTATCATGCAGTCAGTTAGTCGATGAAGGGGGAGATAGTTGCAATCTTCCTCGCTGAAAACCCATCTAAGTCCTGGTATTCTTTTTGTATTTGCTGACAGCCTGGCAGTTTGGCATCTGATACTGGAGCTGCAGTTTCTGGACCATTTGTCTTGTTGGAGGTGATGGTCACTGGGTTGCGATTTGGCCTCACTGGAGGCAATGGCCCGATGCATATAGTTACATTTTGGTAGCCGTCAACCCACGTTATGGTGGGTCCCCATTTGTCTAGACATGCAAGCCCAAAGATAATCAATTTATTCATTTTTGACACTATGTTGTATCTGAGGAGCTCCCAGTCACACTCTATCTGCAATCTCACAAACTCTGTGATTAGCTTGGCAGGGGTCCTTCTGATTAGCATCCTGTCAACTTGCTCAAAGCAGATGGGATGGGCCAAGAATCTTGTGCATATACCCAACAGCTCTACAATGCACTGAATGCAGCCCATTTTAATGACTGCCTCTACTTCCCCTTCTACCCCTGTCTCATGCACTATAAGTTTGGGTTTGATGGCAAAGGGGCAGATGGCTCCACTTACTATCGGGTCGTCTTTGCTGCTGCTTTCTTCCTCTGGGCTTGGAGGGGTTTCACCATCAGGAGATTCTTCTTCTTCTTCAGACTGGAGAGGAACTTCATCAGTTTGGTTGGTGAGGTGACTCTTGTTGGGTAGTTTTCACGAGGTGCTCTTTGTCCCACTTGTGGCTGGAGTGTGCACTTGTGGGATTGAGGCCAGGGCTAAGCATTCCTATGAGGAGAGATGGCTTGGAAATGCTTTTTGTGCTGAGAATAGACGCTCCTGGGTGCTATAATATTGCACAAGTTCAGGCACCCATCCTCTTTTGTAGAGAGTCAGGGACCCAGAAGCTTTCATTGTTGGCACAAAAAGTGTTTGCTAGTCTCCTACTTCTCCCCCCTGCAAAATACTTTCCACTTAATTCCTTAATGAGACCTTAATGAGTTATCCGAAGGAGCACGCTTGTATGCAAATGGGGCAAGAGACGGGGTGGGGAGAGAGGGAGAGCGGGAGCAATACGATGCAGTGTGTGTGTGTGTGTGTGTGTGTGTGTGTGTGTGTGATATCCCTAAGTCAAATTCAAATCCCACCAGGCTCAAGGTTGACTTAGCCTTTCAATCCGAGTCAATAAAATGAGGATCAAGATTGCGCAATACGCTGATTCTGTAAACCGCTTACAGAGGGCTGTAAAGCACTGTGAAGTGCTATATTAATCTATTGCTGTTGCTATATACAGTAGAATATACATAATGCTTTGAATCATACATAAAGTATGAATCAACAGGATTTATCAACTCTATTTCTTCACTTAAACATGAATATCATTTTTACTTTCAATTTTAACCAAAGAGAACTCTAACCATTTATGCACTCACTGTTGGCAAATCCTTGTCAAAGGAAGAAAACAAAGTTGATGACGTAGCTAAATATATCTCCTGATTTTTGATCTGTATTCTCCTAAATAATAATTTGTATTTGAATTAATGTGTTCATTTTTTCTTTTTTTACCTTCTATCACTACTATATAACTACTTTTGTTTTTCAGCAGATGCAGACTAGAGAAGCATTTATAGAAAAAGAAAAGATAAAATAAATTAGCATATATTTCTAAACCTATTATTTTCATTTTCCAATGTATACCTCTAACTAGTTCTTTTTCTTTTTCAATATTTAAAATCATTTAAATATGCCTATTATACAGAAAAACAACCAACTAACTAAAAGTCTTAAAAATAAAAATCATTGACATTAAATGCCACCCTTTATTTCACAGCATGGATTCATAAAAAATATTTCATTTATTTTACAATATGGGATGGACTGTCAGATCTTAAAAATAGCCACTCAAAATCTTAATGCTCCACAGGAAATAATAAATTGACTTGCTGCTTTTCAGTCTGTAGCATTTTCCAGTCTTTACCGTTCTCTAATACAGTGTGTTATTGAAAACCATTGAAAGCATATGTGGAAGGCCTGAACTCACTCTAAGCAGAATGCTTATGGCTACCCTTAATTAATCACATAATCATATCTGTTTTTTCATCAGGAAAGTGTTAGTAATATATTATTATATTGTGAAATATAGGAGATACAACTCCATATTATACCATAAGAAGGTACAATTATTAAAAAATGTAGAAGATGAAGTACCTGCTTTGCAAAACTGCAATTTTAACTGGTAATTAAACTCAAGTGCTTCATTTTCCCAGTCAGCTCATCAGTGACACTAGAAAATAAATGATCTGAAAATGAAATCCTTTGGGAGAAACAAGAGTAATTAATTACATTTATCAAGGGAGAAAATACTCCTAAATCTTGTTTCTGGATCACCTGTTAAGCAATAAACAAATATAAGAGGAGGGTAGAAGAAAGTCATAAAAAGTGCTAGAGAAAATAAATAATTTAATCTGAATGTTTTTGAAGGCTTCAGTATTGTTAAAGCTTTATATCTGCAGTACCACAATTTCCTATTTTGTAGCAAAGTTAAAATTCAATAAATATATAACTAGTCTAGTGATGGCAAACCTTTTAGAGACCAAGTGCCCAAACTGCAACCCAAAACCCACTTATTTATCTCAGAATGCCAACACGACAATTTAACCTGAATAATGAGATTTTCATTTTAAAAAAACAACTCACACGTGATTAATGTCTTTTCTCTGGGAAAAAAAACACAATAACAGCACTTTCAATGATACAAACACCTTTTTATTGAAAGGTAAATGTTTGCATTTGGCATACTTTTGATTAATCTGACTTTTGCTGTTGTATGCATGCTGATAATTTTTCTAACTTTGACTCATACTTGTAAGTTTGAAAGCAACACTCAGGTCATTTGTAAGTCCAGGGGTATCAAACTCAATTTCAATGAGGGCCCCATTGTGGTTGATTTTGGAGGCCATGGTGGGCGTGCTCTCACTGCTGCTGTGCTCACTCTCCTTGGTTGCCAATGGTGTGTGCAGGAGGGCAAAGTATGTGGGTCGAAGGGAGGCCCACTCCATCTCCTTACAAGATATGTCTTTGTAACCAAAGCATGCTCAGTGATAGGATGGGAGACCAGGAGAGGTCAGGAGGAGGGGACAAGGTGATGGTAAAAGGCAGCAGGGCTGCTGCTGATCAAGTGCTAAGACAGGATTTTACCTCACACTCTCACTCTCTCATTATAATCTCCTTCCTTCCCTTCTTTTTCTTTCCCTCTTCATTCTTTCTTCTTCCTTCCCCTCTTTCCTCCTTTTTGTTCCTTGCTCTCTTTCCTGCTTTCCTTCTTTTTCTCTGTCTTTCCTGTCCCTTCTTGGATGCTCAAAAGCAAAAGGAGAAACATTCCTTGCCTTGTGATCAAATTCCACTTTTGCTAGAAGTTTGTGGCCACTTAAAAGACCAAGAACAAACCAGGCTCAGTTTATTCCATGCTTGCATTTCGTGGGATCAGACTACAGTACAGCAAAACTGTCAAAATGATGGCTCTGATAGTTGATCAGAGCTCCTCTGTTTTTTATGTGCAACAGTTTTAGTATTTAAGAACAGAGATAAGTTAGTTGCCTTATATAAATATATAATGATTCTTAAAATAATTCTTCTGTAGGGACCCTGCCATGCTCTCTTCAGACTGGAAATATAGCAAAGGAAAATATTTTCCCCTCTTGCTTTGTCCTGTTTTCTCCACTGGAAATAGCAGTTTGAAACACAAGGAAGGGATACTTTCGTAAGAGGTCACAATTCAAAAATACCAATGTGCCCATGAGGTATCTCAGGGTGGGGAAGGCCATGGGAATCCTAGTGATAAAACAGACCCTCAAGCCTCCCCAACCCTCTAAGATATCTCCTGCTTCTCCCTCCCTTCCTGCAACAAGGACTCACTTACCTTGCAAACAGCCAGGCACTGAAACACCATAACTGCCGCCTGCAGCAAGACAGAGAAAGAGGAGGGGAGCTCTCCAAACTCTCTCTCTCTCTCTCTTTCTTTCTCTCTCTCTCTCTTTCTNTAAAATGGAGAAACAATAGTGATAAGCAAACAATTGAAGTATAATAATAATGTATACAAAGATATTTGATTGACAATATGTGAATTTTGATAAAGCTCAAATGATGACTATGAAAAGGACGCAGAAAGACCTTGTAACCAATTGACACACTGTATGCTGTTGAAGAGGTTTTTATGTTATGTCTTGTATGTTTGTGTTTGTTTGAAAATAAAAAAAATATTTAAAAAAATAAATAAAATACGTAGGTATCTATCTGACAGAAAGATGTGTAACTATTAAGGAAGATAATTATTATAAACTGATGCAACAAATTAAAGCAGATTTGGAGAAATGGAAAAATCTGCAATTATCATTGATAGGTAGAATAGCTACAATAAAAATGAATATATTACCGAGATTACTATACTTATTTCAAACAATTCTAATATAATTGGGAAAAAATATTTTGAGGAACTCAATAAAGTAATATTAAGATATATCTGGCAAGCGAGAAATGGAAGAATAAGCCTAAAATGCTGCTAAATTTGAGAAATAGAGGAGGTTTTGGGCTATCGAATTGGGAATTGTATTATCAGGCTGGGGTACTCACATAGGAAAGAATGGACTGTATTGAGGCATACAAGACTATTGACATTGGAGGGGCATGATTTGCAATTGGGCTGGCATGCCTTCTTGTGGTATGGGGAAAATAAAATATTTGGTTACATTACATTAGGAATGCATTATTGTTAGTGTGGGAGAAAATTATAGAACAACTTTACTTGTTTGGCTTTCAACAATGGGAGCACTGATTCACGCAAATGTTATTAACATGGAAAATATTGTTAGATACAAAGATATTTTGAATGAAAAGGGGGAACTCAAAGTTAAACAATAATTGAGTGATCAAGGGATTGATATGGCATGGTACTCACAAGTGCAGATTCTAGATATGGGATTCTAGATATGAGACATTCTAGATATCAGAAAGATGTTAAACTATATGGTTTTATAAAGAATTAACAGAATTAGACAAGATATTAACGGACAGAAGAAAAATTGATAAGGAAACTGTACAGCTACTTATTAGGCATTAAATTGGAAGATGAATAAGTGAAGGAGACAATGATGGGCAAAAAACAGTTATACAAAGTTAGATAAATGACAGAAACTGTAGGACAGGAACTATAAATTAACAATGTGAACTGCAAACAAACAAAATTTGTATAAGATGCTTTATAGATGGCAGTTTGAACCAGTGAGGTTGGCAAAGATGTTTAAAGATAAGTGAGCTAAATGCTGGAAGTGACACCAGAAAGCTGAGTCTTATTATCATATGTGGTGGACATGCTCAAAAGCAAAAAAATATTGGACAAAAATACATATGTGGCAGGAAAAAATAATAAAGCAGCATATTGATTTAAAGCCAGAAACATTCTTGTTGGGGATTTTACCCAAAAAATATAGTAAGGAAAATACTTATCTCATTGTTCATATATTAACTGCATCTAGAATTGTATTTGCACAAAATTGGTAAAGTGAAGAGATTCCCACAGATGAGAATGTGACTAGGAAAATATTAGAATGAATAGATTAATGCTAGCAATTAAAGAGAAAGAACAAACTAAATATTATATGACATGGGACTTATTTTATCAATGGTTAGATAACAAAAATGAAAGTTAGAAATAGTGAAAAAAAAGAAAAAGATTTGTGAAGTAAAGAAGATATGTTAAGAGAGAGAAGCAAATATTATGATTATTATGTTTAATATTATCATTTTAATATTATAGAATTAATGCTAATGTAATGAATATTATTGTACATTTTGATTATCATTTTACAAAGATATTTGTACCCAGAGGACACACTGTTTAATTGAAGATGGAATTATTATATTAATTTTTTTTAAAAAAATTGTAACAGTGCTATCATGTCCTCCGTTGGCTCATATTTAAATGATTGTCCACTTAAGGACTGCAAGATCTCTCCAAGATCCCTCTAGTTATATTCCAAGTAAGAGCTAGGGATATAACTAGATTGGAATGAAGCATGGAACTAAGTTCTTTATATATTCCATCAGGACCAATAGATAGAGATGGTTTTAGGTTGCATAGTGCCCTTTTGATGGTGATTGTTGCAATTGGTTGAGGTACGACTAGGAAATGAAGGGGAGATGCCATTCCTGTTGACAAAGACTGAATTGAAAATTATGTTGAAGAGATTGGCCTTAACAGCTTCATTGTTACAGTCTTCCCCGTTATGCCCTTTTAGAGGTGGGATAGTTTTTGAATCTTTAAGTTTGATGTTTACGAAATTATAGAAGGCTTGGGTGGATTTCATATGTAACAGCTCTTCTTCCTGTCTGCAGTGGTAATTGGTACATTCTGCTTTTATTTGGTGGCATAAAGTTTTGTATCGGTTTTTGAAGTTAGCTACGTAGCCAGTTTCGGTTTTTTGCCAAAGGGTTTTCTTTTTGGATTGGAGTTTCCTTATTGATATGGGTAATTGTTCTTTTTGGCTTGGGGTGTTACTAAAGGTACATATAGTTTAATGATTCTTTGGACTTTGAGTAAAAAAATGTTATAATGGTCTTCTGCAGTCATTGAATAGGATTTGTCAATCTATAAATGAGAGGTTGGCAGCTATGAGATCGTACTTTGCTTTTTTGAAGTTATATTTAGGAGTCCTTTTATGATATTCTTTGTATGGATGTAAATTTAGACAGAAGTCAATCATACTATGGTCATTGTTGGAAAAAGTTTCTTTGATTTGTAGTTATAAATTGAGTTTAAACTGTTGCAGAAGATGAGATCGAGGCAGTTGCTGAGTCTAGTGTTGTTAGTTATCAATTGATCCAGTCCCAAAGTAGTGATGGTCATGTACAGGGTCTTATGTATAGTTTCGGTTGTGCATTCATTTACGGTCCAATTAATAAGAGGTAAATTGAGATCACCAAGAAAAATAATGGGATGAGGCTGCCCACATTAGTAATGCAGTTAGTTTGTTCACATGATCAAGGTCATAATCAGGGGCTCTGTAACATAATAGGAAGTGAATTGTGGTATTTAGTGACAGATTGCAGATAATGATCTCAGGAAGAGCAAGCTCTTGTGTAACTTGAATATTTTTCAGATCTAGGGACTTGAATTGTACCCAGAAGCAAATTGGCAACCAATGCAGTTCCTGCAGGAGAGGTAATACATGTGCACATCAAAACACTGTGGGGTGCTGCATTTTGCACTAACTGAAGCTTCAAAATGCTCCAGTTGCTACATACAGCCAAGGAGGCCAACAATTTAGGTAGGAAGACCTTGCATTGAAATAAATAAAATTTTTGATCCCCATGTCTTCTTGCTCACATGCTAGGATAAACTGTGAGTGATTATTCTGAAGAATGTAGCATCAGTGCTTTGAAGTTAGAATAGAATAGAGTTGGAAGGGACCTTGGAAGTCTTCTAGTCCAGGCCCCTCAAGCAGAACAACCTATACAATTTCAGATAAGTGGCTATCTAATCTCTTCTTAAAAACCTCCAGTGATGGAGCACCCCCAATTTCTGAAGACAAACTGTTGCACTGGTTAATTGTCCTCACTGTTAGGAAGTTTCTTCTTAATTCCAGATTGCTTCTCTCTTTGGTTAGTTTCTAATAATTGTTTCTTATCCTGCCCTCTGGTGCTTTGGAGAATAATTTGAGGCAGCCCCTCAAATACTGAAATACTGCTATCATGTTACTAATTCTTTTCTTTAGATTAGTGAAACCCAAATGCTGCAGCTGTCCTTATATTTTAGTGTTCAGGCCTTTGATCAGCTTAGTTGCTCTTCTTTCTGAACTTTTTCCAAAATCTCAACATCTTTTTTGTAGTATGGTGACCAAACTTGGTAACAGTATTCCAAGTGCGATCTTACAAATACATAATACCATAATACTGAAGTATTAGTATGGTTATAAACATTACTAATACTTCAAGTGATCTTGATTCTATGCTTCTGTTTATGCAACCCAGGATTGTATTAGCTTTTTTGACTGCTACTGCACACGCCTGGCTCATATTCAAGTTTCTGTTTTTGAGCTAGGTCTTGCCTAATCTGTGTCATATCTTTCATTTTTCCTGCCTAAATGTAAAACTTAGCAATAGCAATAGCAGTTAGACTTATATACTGCTTCATAGGGCTTTCAGCCCTCTCTAAGCGGTTTACAGAGTCAGCATATTGCCCCCANTTCTGCAGTTCGGCTGTTCAAATCTCACCGGCTCAGGGTTGACTCAGCCTTCCATCCTTCCGAGGTAGGTAAAATGAGGACCCAGATTGTTGTTGAGGGCAATATGCTGACTCTGTAAACCGCTTAGAGAGGGCCGAAAGCCCTATGAAGTGGTATATAAGTCTAACTGCTATTGCTATTGCTATCTCCTGTCTCCTGGAGCCTCTCAAATATTGTAACAATGTAGAGGGCAGGACTGACATCATGGCAACAAAACGCATCCCCACAGGGCTCCATGGGATTGTGCTGAAATTTGAACTGCAGGGAGATTCTGATGGACCTAAATCACTTTGGAGTGATAATGAAGTAAGAGAGCACATTGCATTGATCTCAAGGAGTCTACAAAGTCCTTGATCGATCTGGAGAAGGCTCTCAATCCAGCAGGAAGAAAAAGACGGCCATTACATGCCTGACCGAAGCTGTGACAGTCGACCGATGAAGAAAGCATGAAAGACTGAGGAACAGTGTGCACGATCTGGGTGAGAGATTTCTAACTTATAACTTCTATTGAGAAATGAGCCCCCTGGAAATTAGCCTGGGTGAAAGTGGGGCCCAAAAAGGAATTGTTTTCCTTCCACCTCCCAAGAAAAGTGGCAAGCAAGCATGAGAGCCATTTTTTAAAACTGGAAAGAAAGACAAGAGAAATTCTTTAAAAAGCGAAATAACTTTTAAACTAGGAAGCTGGACTGGGGACCTCAAATATAATATTGACTAACTTGAAAGCTTT